AAGCTCTTCTGCCTCGGGATTATGAGCCCCGAGTCGCACAATGTTAGAAAGACACAGGGAAGATCCACGGTTCTTTGAAAAAATTTTATGGTCAGATGAGACCACATTTAAGAAAGATGGGTACATGAACCTGCATAACTTACACGAGTGGCACGTAGCAAACCCACATTTGATGAGAGATAAACCATTGGACAGCAATTTTAAATGGTAAAATAATCGGTCCGTTTGAGTTCCCAGAGACTTTGACTGCTGAAGTTTATTTGGATTTTTTGAAAAATCATGTACAAAATTTATTGGTGGACGTGCCACTGAATATTTACAGGGACATGTGGTTTCAGCATGATGGCTGCCCAGCGCACTATGCACTCTCAGTGAGAGAGTATCTCGATCAAAACTTCAGGCAGATGGATAAGGCGGTCTGGTACAATACCGTGGCAGCCCGATCACCTGATTTGAATCCTTTAGATTTTTTTACTGGGGAACTGTAAAAGAAAAAGTGTATTTCAAGCCGATTCAAAATGTAGCTGAGCTACGGCAAAGACTATTGGAAGCAGCTGAGTTTGTTAATAACCGTGGATTCGCTCGTTTAATAACCCGATCTTTTTTAAGAAGATGTCGAGCGCGTAATGCGGCTGAAGGAGAACAGTTTGAGCATTTGCTGTAAAGGTAAATCATCATCAGCAGCATTTTGACGCCCACTGTTGTGCAAACAGTTATCCTTAAGGGTCCTTGTGCGTTTTGATAATCGCTGTTTAATTAGGAAATTTTGAAAAATTTTCATCAGATTTTCTTCAAATAAAAATTGTGCATAAGTTAACGAGTAATCTTCTAAGTGATATACCATTTTGGAATCCTTATTAAATGCGCCAACTTTTAAGGTTTCTTTCCAAACTCTCGTAGTACATTTTTTTCCAGTACAGCCAGTTAAAGTTGAGCAAAGTTTTACTTTGGAATACTTGGTTGGGAAATAAGTGGCAATTTTTCCTGAACGAGAAAAGTTGGCAGTAAGGTTGAGACACCAGTTTGAAGATGCATTATTCATCATTACATTGTAAAAATAAAATCCAAAAAAAGTTAATATTTGTAGTAACAGGAGTTGACAGACTGCTGTAGGGTGTGAAATTTCTATATATTTTTCAAAGACCTATAATTTTCAAAACACATAGATAAAATTTTTTTAAATATTTTTCTGATAGCTGTTATGACTTTGCCTATCACCCGGTTTCGGCTTGACGTCGACTTCTGGGACACCCTGTATAATAATACATAAATAGTATTCTTCAAGAACTTTTTGTTTAGGAACAGTACTCCGTCCTCGCATAGTTGGACACCCTGTAGAGTAAGCAATCCAGCCTTATTACCTTGATCTATACGCATACCACTCAAGCGTAGATATTATAGTTTGCCGTTTCTTGCGAGAAAAAGAAGTGCCCAAAAAAATCAAAATGAATCGAATTTACATGTGGTATGGCGAACTATAGTCATCTTCAACATATTCCTTTGGATCAGTTGTTTCGATTTTTTTTTTGTAGAGATAGAGCATTCCTGGATGTATGTATGTGTGTAATGTCAACTCAATGTGAGTGTGAATGAATTCACAAAAGATGAGAATTTCAATTATACAATAAAGATATTAAAAATCACCCTTTATTAGATTTATTTGTACAGTAATAGATCACATTTACAACAAAAAGAACAATATAGGCACCTCGGCCGTTATCTACAAGGCACAACATTAAAAAACATTTGACCAACAAATGGACTTTCGAAAGAAATATTCCACAGAAACGGCTTTCCAGTTGGTAACTGAGAATTGGAGAAGAGCCATAGACTCAGAAGAAGTTGTCATAGCTTTGTTAGGTAAATTGAAGAAATATGGTATAACAGGAAGTGTTTTAGATTGGTTTAGAAATTATTTGTCTAAAAGGATGCAAGTTACAAAAGGTAATGACACTATTTCATCAAAAATTGAAAATACGTTGGGTGTTCCACAGGGCAGTATCCTGGGACCACTTCTTTTTATTTAATACATAAATGATTTACCTGCCATAGTCAAAAAATGCAAAATTCAGATTTTCGCCGATGACACTATGATTTATATAAGTACTAAAAATATTCAGTCTGGTATCTCTTATATAAATGAAGACTTGAAGCTTGTCTCAAAAAACAGACTAAAATTAAATGCAAGTAAAACGAAAGCCTTGTTAATCGGAAAAAACAATGTACAAATGTTCAACTGAATATTGATGGTGAAGATATTGAATTCGTCGAAAATTTTAAATACCTGGGGGTTTTTGTTGACTCTCGATTAATTTTTGATATTCATTATGAAAAAGTTATAAATAAGATTAGTGGTAAAGTGTGATATTTATCGAGAGTTTCTGGATGTCTGAGTTCATATAGCAGAAAAATTATCTATAATACTACTACTATAATAATTCTTCCAAATTTCTTGTACTGTTCGACTATTCTATATTTAGCAAATAATTCCATTCTTGAAAGACTGCAAATTTTACAAAATAAGTGCATGAGGATAATACTAAATAAAGATAAATATACTCCAATTAGGCAAACGCTTAGCAAATTAAAATGGCTCAATGTAAAAAATTTTATCAAATATCTTGTAATGATATTCATTTATAAAGTAAAAAATAATATATTTCCATCAAGTCTAACTAATTTAACATCATCAAATGTCGACCATCATTTACATAATAGGTACCAGAAATAAAGATAACTTCCATTTAATGGCCAAAAAGTATAACATATGCTACAAATCTGTATTCCATCAAGGGTTGATTGAATATAATGAATTATACTCGGAGACAAAAGACCAGAAAACTTTTACAAAATTTAAAGTAAAATTGAGAAATCACTTGTTAAATCTACAATTATAGGTTGCCCAGCATTTACATCATACACCATATGGATTGAATTTACTAGTTCTAAGTTGTTTACAATTATTCTGTTTATGTAGCCAAATGTGCTAAATAAATCTTTCTACTACTACTACTATTGCATACCAGCCGCTTTATATTGACAAGTTCTTCATGCAATTAGAAGTTATTATAATTTATACCAAGCTAGACGTCAAATTCCATGGTATCAACCGTGTTTTCTTTTCCCTTATCAGCTTTTCGATTCAAGGATAGAACTTTGATAGAACTAGAACAATTATGAAATTCGCCTCAAAATCAAAACCACAATTCATGTAAGAACTCAAAATGTTTCTAGCAAAAACACTGTCTGCCGATGTAGACACCGCAAAACATAGTCAGGATGACCTTCAAGAAACCCATCTGAATAAATTCGTGGAGAAATTTTTGATGTAAAGCTGGTAAAAGAAAAGTCCAACCAACCAATATGGCCGTTGATGCAACATATGAATCTAGATCATTGTGTTGGCCACGTAGAGAATACAGGTCTACATGGTCTAGCAATTAAGCTCTGGAGATTTGTCAGTAAAAAGTATGCAAATTAAACCTCGGAGCCTTGATCCACTGAATGGATTTTTGAAGTTCTCAGTGAAATGCCATTTAAAATACCATGTCTAACAAAAAAGAAATTTGAGCGCTTTTGTTTTGTTTTCAATTATTTTTATTCTTCGTTTAATCGTTTATTTATGCGATTATTTAGATTTATTATACTTCGAAGTTGAGTCATTTATTTTAACAGTGAGTAGATCTGATCAAAAGAAATGTTTTTTTCCTTTACCATTTTTCTGGTAAAATTAAAGTAACAAAGTTATAGCCCTTTGGAAGTTTGAGTACCGCCCTGTCTCAATAATAATATTATGTGCTCGTGTTTGGCGACAACGGTAGAATATCCGCCTTATCGGTTCATCGCATCGGAAACAAAAAAGCGAAAGAATTTGGAACGATGTTTTTACAATTATTTTATTCAGTTGTATACAGTCAGTGCCAGTCGGTAACGCGTGAGTGAATAGTGGTGTCTGTTGCGTGGCTCAAACGAAATCAAAAATGGCACATGTTTACGAAAATGCTGAACTTGTGGACATTATTCTTATTTACGCGGCATCACGGATTTATGCGGATCGGTTTCCCAATCGAGTGCAACCAACCCCTCGTGCCTTTGTTAATGTAGTACAAAGGGCTCGTGAATCAGGTGACTTAAGACCTCACAGGGGAGGGCATGCCGGTGCTCCAAGACCGCACGATCAAATACAGGTCCGCACTGAAATACTTGTCGGGAGGATACTTTATAAAACAAGGTAACATTTTTTTTTTAATTTTTATTTTTATTTTTACACACATATTTTGGTTTATCTTCCTTCTACAATCATTATCTGAAAATTAATGACTCAACTTCAAAGTCACCCTGTATACTAGGTGACAGGTAACATCAATCCAAACAAAAACGATGAACTTATGTATTTTACGGCTTCTTAACTGATTTACAACTTTATTTTTTCTCGAAACTTGATCAAAAAAAAGGGTCTCAGAGAGCTGCAGCCACACTAAAAGGTGCGATACTGAAGCATCCGCACAGGCAGAAACCTTAGCTTAAATAAACTTTGTTAAAACGATTTTTGAACTGCCTAAGGTTAGTAGAAATGTCTGCGCAAGTAGATTGTTCCACAATCTTCAGATCTTAGGAACAAAGGAGCGGTCGTATCGACCAGATCTGGAGGTACGAAGTTCGACACGGTTAGGATAGGGGTCCGAAGGCATGCGGGTCTGTATGGCAGGCACATCTCGCGGCGACATCATGGAGGAGAGCTATGAGGAGCAAAGTCCATTGGCGTAGCGGTAGACTAGAGCTAGAACGCCGATGGACCGCCGCGCGCCGGTACGAAACGGTCACGAGACTGTCCGTTAGAGAAGAGTTATCGTTCAGAGGGACATCCCTCGTCAGAATAACATCGAGCATGGATAATGTTGTTAGATTCTATTTCAACTATCTAAACTTGGCTCTCCCTGTAACACTGTTTGGTCGCTCACGCATGTGCGCCCAAGAACGGCGCGGGAGAAGACGTACTGCCCCGCCGGGCAGACACTGCCTGACATTGACCGTGAGTGGTCGTAAATTGTAAAAATCTAACATCAGGTGTGGGGTACACGTGTACTTTTCGTAAACGTTTGGTATTCTGTGAAGTTTTGTGGTTGTGAAAGACATTACGTCCGAAGAGTTGGCAAAGTCTCTAGGAGCAATTGCATCGATTTTGGAAAATCTACAGAGGAAGGTGGCCCAGCTTTGATTCGGACAGCACCGATAGCCACGTATGGTTACAAAAACTAGAGGGATATAAAAATGAATTTGGTTGGTCTGACCGGGAAACTGTAAGTAGAATTGGAGCTTTTCAATTAAAATCTGCACAAGGGTGGTTTTCTGTATGGCAACCTACTGAAGAAACCTGGGAAAATTTCAAGATCCGTATCATTTCCTAAACAGAAAAATCTAGGTAAGCTTCTCAGTGAGGCAGTAGGCTATCATAGCTCAGAGGCCTGTAGTTACGTCGAATCTGCTAGAGTCAAACTCGAAAAGTTGAAACGCACCCAAGCTAGTTGGGTGGATTTGGATTTGATAGAGATTATCGCACATTCGATAGATGATGCCGTTGTAAGAACTGTTGCTTATAATTGTGGCGCGTCATCTGTAAGTGATTTGATTGCATTCCTTGCTAATTATACTAAGTGACATATAAATCCGAACACCCAGTTTAAATAGTTTTATTTTAATAAAAGTTGGTGAATGTATTTATCTTACTGTAAATAACAAGTGAAAAAATGTTCAGCCTTATCAGTTGGACATTCCGGTTTTTATACTGCTTTTTTTTAATTCACTAACGCTCTAAAAATGAATATTTCAGCCGCAGTAAAGAATCAACGTTGGCGGATTTTGGTTCTTGACAACTTGACATCCTTTACGATCGGTTACGATGCCTAGAGTACGGAGACCTGTACGATTTCGTCAACTTAGTGAGTTTGATAGGGGCCGTATAGTGGGACTTCGGGAAGCTGGACTTTCTTTTCGGGCAATTGCAGTTAGAGTGCAAAGAAGTGTAGACACTGTGGTTAGGTGTTGTCAGGCATGGCTTCGAGAAGGCCGTACGCAAAGAGCAAGGGGCACTGGATGCCGCCGTAGAACAACAGACCGTGAAGATCGCCGCGTAAGATTATTGGCCTTAAGGGACCGTTTCTCCACTACCAGGTCCATTGCAAATGAATGGTTTGCAGAACACGGAAGACCTATTGGCATGCGAAGTGTTTACCGACGAATGAGAAGTTTTGGTTTGTTTTCATACCGGCCACACTGGGTCCTCCCTTTAACTCGAGAACACCGACGTAGTCGCCTTGAGTGGTGCAGACAACGGTCACTCTGGGATCAGGAATGGAACAGTATTGTCTTTAGTGACGAATCTCGATTTTTTTTAGGCATGCACGATGGTCGTGCCAGGGTTAGAAGGCGACGTGGTGAAAGGAGGAATCCACAGTTTTTTGTTGAAAGACATGTTCATCACACTGTTGGAGTTATGGTTTGGGGAGCTATAGCTTATGGTTCCAGGTCACCTTTAATCTTCATCAGAGGTAACATGAACGCGCAGCGTTATATCCAAGAAGTTCTAGAACCCCATCTTTTACCCTATCTTGACACCCTGGCAGATCCAACTTTCCAACAAGATAATGCCCGACCACATGTTACAAGAGTCACAATAGACTTCTTTCAACATAATGATGTCACATTGTTACCATGGCCACCAAGATCTCCCGACTTATACAAAATTGAGCACGTGTGGGATATGATGGGTAGAAGATTGCTCAATTTGCAACGTCCTCCTCAGACTCTAGAAGCACTTCGAGAGGAGTTGGTGGTAGCCTGGAATGAGATACCACAGGAGGACGTTGACCGCCTGATCAGAAGCATGCCTAGGCGGTGGAGAATGCGTAGCACATCAGGGTGCATCCACACATTATTAAAGGTTAAAGGGCTTTAAAGCAGTGCAATCATTTTGAAATTTTTATCATTTACTTATTATGCTTCATTAAGTACTTATACAAAATTTTATTGAAATAAAACCATGTAAACTGGGTGTTCGGATTTATATGTCACTTAGTATATATAAAAGTTCCATCATTCAATAAAATGTCAACACATCCAAACAGTCAGAGTGATGACAGCAACAAAGATGCAAAAACGTTCTGTAGTTACTGAAAAAAACCGGGCCATGAAATATCTCACTGTTTTCGTCGTCAAAACAAACGTGTTCGAGACAGTGGCGGCGAAACCACTGTAGATAAGAAATTCAAAGGGGAACAACTTTTCCTTAATTCTCATACTTCTGAGCTCGGTAGATGTTTGAAGACGTTGCCAATTGTAATATCAGGTTATTGTACAAATTGTTTAGTAGATACTGGTTCGACATGTTCATTAATTAGTGAAACGCTGGTTGAAAAATTGAACCTTGATAAAATACCGTGTATCACAGCGTTACAGTGGTTTGAGGGTACAACTATTAATTCTTATTTTGTTACAAATGCCTTAGTGGAAATTTCTGATGCAAAATTGAAACTTGATTTTGTCGTAGTACCACAAAATCATTCTAAGTATGATGTTGTTATACAGTATATTCAGATAAGAGATAGACCGGATGTAAACAAAAGGTTCGGGTGATTTTCACGCTAACGCCGCCGTCTCGACGTAAAACAGGAGCCCTCATTGGTCAATTCGCAATTAAATGCCTATGCCGAGCGGCAGAGCAGTCGTATCAAGGCAGAGTCACATTCAGGTTTAGACGTGTTACGTATGTCGTGTGCATCATTGCAATTTGATATTTCTTTGGACGTTTTCGTTTGTTATCTTATTAAGTTGTTGAGTTTGTCGTTGTTATTGTTATACCTTGTTATTGATTGTTATTGTTATCAACTGCTTGCGCAAAATGCCCAGTAGTACAGATACTGCCGATGAAGTTGTAAACTCCTGTAGTCCATCTAGGAAACGCTCTAAAAAAAGACACCTGAGTGCAGAAATGAAAGAGGTCATTTTGAATATATATAAGATCGAGCGCGAGGAGAACGAGGCATCAACCATCAAAGAAATTATTGTGAAGGTTTCTCACAAAGTTGGGGTGTGTCGCGCATCAGTGTTTAATGTGTTAAGACAATACAAAAAAAATCACACCTTTTCTGAGCCAATGACCAGTAAACATCGCAAAAGTATTGTTAAATCATTGGATGAAGCTGATAAGCATGCGATTAGGAGGAAAGTGCATGAATTCTTCTTTAGGAATGAAATACCTACTCTAGATAAAGTACTGCAGGAGGTAAATGGAGATACAACGTTGCCAAATTTCAAACGATCAACTTTCCATGCGATACTGAAGCATTTAAATTTCAAATGGAAAAAACGGGGTCGTAATAGTTTACTACTGGATAGAGAAGAAATTGTGCTATGGAGGAGGGATTATTCAACAAAAATTGGGAAATATAGAAATCAAAACAGGGAGATTTATTACCTTGATGAAACGTGGGTAAACGCAGGACACACTACAAGTAAAGTATGGGTTGATGATTCTGTAACTTCATCCAGGAGGGCCTTTCTAGATGGACTGTCCACCGGATTAAAAAATCCAGCAGGTAAATACAAGTAATAGACAACAATCGGATGTTTTTCAAACCTTGGGAACAAGGTTCTAAACATTAATTCCAGGGGGCAGATAAAACATATTACAAGTAACAAAACTTTTATAACTTTCGATAAAATGCGTGGATGTTTTATTGTCATTTTCATTTGTTAGAACTTTTTTAAGCCATGTTTTTATGTGTTTTCGATATTTCAATAATTTTTTAATATAATCTTAAAATATGTCGAATATTATAAACTTAAAAAAAGTTACTAAGTTTTATATTGTGTACCGTTCCTAATATTTCTAATCATTTTAATTCATACTTTAAGCTTTATAAAGTTATAATTTGTAAATATTAATATTTGCGCGTATTTCAGGTTCCTGATCATTCATTTTTTAAAGGTTTATAACTTTAAATTAAATTGTGAAGCGCTGAGTAATCATACGACGTTCAATATTCTTTCTTTCAATATGACTAAATAAATTATAGCAATCTGATACTCATGTTTCAATGTTTTTTCGCTGAATGTGATGAAAACATTTGAAAAAGGTTCGCTTATTGAAATAAATCTACACCAGTTAGTACTTCGATTTCCAGGTAAAGGGAAAAGGCTCATTATCTGCCATATTGGCAGTGAGGATGGATTTGTTGTTGACGGTCTGTGGTGCTTTGAGTCTAAGAAAACTGGAGATTACCACGAGGAAATGAATGGCGAATCGTTTGAACAGTGGTTTTCAAAAATTTTACGGAACTTAGAGGAAAACGCAGTAATTGTGTTGGATAATGCGCCTTATCATTCTCGAAGAATGGAGAAGGTCCCAACAACGGCTTCAAGGAAAGTTGATGTTCAAAATTGGCTCCGCTCGAAAAATATCAACTTTGAAGAAGCAATGCTGAAAGTACAATTATTAAGAATTGTCAAGGATCACAAGGCGGAATATCAAAAATACGCCATTGACGAAATGGCAGCAAGTCAAAATAAAACTGTGCTCCGTTTACCTCCATACCATTGCGAGCTCAATCCCATTGAGCTCATATGGGCAGAGGTTAAAAATTATATAGCTAAGCACAATACAACTTTTAAATTTTGTGACCTCAAAGGACTTTTCAAAGAAGCACTAGAATTAATAACAGCGCAAAAATGGGAAAACTGTATTAAGCACGTGAAAGACAAAGTTGAAAAGAGAATGTGGGAACTGGACAATATTTTAGAGGAACAAGTCGAGCCATTCATTATTGACGTTGGTGCTTCAAGCAGTAGCGATGATGAAAGCTCATCAAGCTCATCTTTCGAATAAAAGATGTCGTTCATCAAATTTGGTAAGTTATAAGTAATTATAAAGCTACTGTATTTTTTAATTAATTATTGACATTTTTGAACCCATTTTGGCAAAACCTATTCAACAATCTACTTTCTGACAATGTTCAACCATTCACATTTTTTTACGTTTTGAACGTTTTAATTTGGTTACATATTTACCTAGAAATCAAAAAATATACTAATCAATATTCTAAAAGCAATTTTAAGAGATATACGATTATTTTTAATTTAGGCTAATTTAAACGCCATTTTGAGATTATATTCGACTGTATTTCACCAAACATCAGGCGGCATCCGAAGCTGGAAATCGAAGCGAAAATTTTGAAACCCTTATGTATATTTACATCATTATATATTTCTTACTCCACCCCCACATGATCCTATATCCATCACCAATCGTATACACAACGAATTGTGCTAATTTACTACAAAGTTACGCAAAGCAGCATCTAGTATCTAAAATATGTACTGCGTGACTCTTAATACGTCCCTGCCGAATGTTACAGCGTTCGATGATCACGTGGTCTTGTTTATGTCCGGTCTATCTCTTATCTGAATATACTGTAGGTAAACTTAAATATGATATCGCTATTGTTTACATGGACGACATCGTTATACCGTCTATTACAGTCGCCGAAGGGATGCTCAGATTAAAATTAGTTTTTGATGCATTGCTTGAAGCAGAATTTTCTACAAATCTCAAGAAATGTCGTTTTTTTCATGAAGAGTATCATCACCTATCTATGGCGAGTAATCTCAGCTGATGGTATCCAACCTGACCCTAATAAAGCTAAAGCAGTCAAAGAAAGTTTAGCCCCCGCTAATGTGAAGCAGGTTCGTCAATTTATTGGATTGGCCAGTTATTTCCGAAAATTTATCCCTGGTTTTTCCTCTAGAGTAGCCTGCATAACTAATCTAACCAGGAATAATGTTGACTTTGCTTGGACATCAGAATGTGAACAGGCAAGGCGATACATTATTGATGTCCTAACAGAAAAACCTCTATTGTCCATATTTGATCCTTCTTTGGAAACACAGTTACACACAGACGCCAGCAGTATCGGTTTTGGCGGCATTCTGTTACAGAAACATGGGAATACTTTCCGCTCAGTTGAATATTTCAGCCAGAAAACATCCCCCGAGGAAGCTGTTTACCATTCATTTGAACTAGAGACTCTGGCTGTCGTTAGGGCTCTAAAAAACTTTCGAGTATATTTACTTGGCTTAAAGTTCACTCTTGTTGCTGATTGCAATTCCCTTAAGTTGTCTGCAGGTAAGAAGGACCTAAAACCACGTATAGCGCGCAAGACTTTGACTTCGAAATAGTCTACCTAAAAGGTACCTAAATATCTCATGTTGACTTCCTTAGTAGAAATCCGACCGACACTGTGGTTCAAGTTAATTTAACATCTGATGATTACAAAAACTGGCTTACTTTTGCACAAAGTCGAGACCAGGTGTGCAAACAAATCATTAAATCTTTAAATGATAACGAGGTAGATAGGGTAAAATCGGGCAAAAGGTATATAGTGGGCAAAAGGAATCAGCTAAATAAATGAAAACAGCTTCATCACAGAAACCTGACAACGCTGTTTAACAATTCGCTGAGTATGGCACAAGTTCATGCGCAACGCGTTCCCTCGTGCTAAAGTTTTTACCTCATATTTCTAATTAATTACGTCTTGAATAGTTGTTCAAAGGATTTTTGAAGAAGGGTAAGTAGTGACTCAGCCATTTATTCAAAACGATTTAGTTAATAATCGAAAGGTTGGCACTTCTACTTTTCTACCTAACCTTGAAAATGTGTCCATTGTTGCCAGCGTCTCGTAAATTTTTATTTCCTTTGTGACAGTGCATTTCGGGCAAGAGGAATCAGGCAAAAGGGATCATTATTCCTTTTGCCCGTATATCAATTTTCGATTTTCATGTAGGTATGTAATTTTCGCTTCTTTTCTAGATGGTTTTCAACTATAAAAGAAAGTCGGAACGAGGAAGCACCTGGACAGAAACATCCATGGAACATGCATTGCAAGCAGTGCGTAACGGGGAGTCGATAAGAAAAGCGTCTTTAATATATAACATTCCATTCTCAACGCTCCTTAAGCATGTGAAGTCCAATAAAACTACTAAATCTCTGGGCAGATTTAAGACGGTTTTGACTCCAGAAGAAGAACAAGAATTTGTTACCCATATCAAAGAGCTTGATAGCCGTTTTTATGGGCTTACGCGACGAGATCTTTGTGTTAGCATATCAATACGCCGAAGCGAACGACATTATTCATTGTTTTAAAAATAATGCAGCGGGTCAGCAATGGTATCAAAATTTTATGAAGAGACATCCTGAGTTAATCTTACGGACACCTGAACCGACCAGTGTTGCACGAGCCAGTGGCTTTAATCGCCCACAAGTGGAGAGGTTTTTCGAAAATTTGAGGGACGTCATCGAGAAAAACAATATTTTGCCTGAAAATATGTACAATGTAGATGAGACAGGGATCCAAACCTCTACAAATAGGCCTCCTAAGGTTATTTCCCTGAAAGGCAAAAAGGGAGTTGGAGCTATATCTTCCTCCGAGCGAGGCACACTAGTAACGGCACTGTTTTGTTGTTCCGCTGCTGGGGCATATATTCCTCCTACACTAGTTTTCCCAAGGAAAAAGAAAAATCCCAGGTACATGGAAGGAACTCCACCAGGCTCTTCTCAGTTAGTAACTGATTCTGGATGGATAAGTTCCGAAGCTTTCCTGGAGTGGATGAAGTTTTTTGTAAGCAACGTTAGACCAAATGAAGACCATAAATGTCTATTAATCTTAGACAATCATGCTTCTCATAGGTCTATTGATGTCCTTGATTATGCCTCTCAGAATAATGTCATCATTTTGTCGGTTCCACCCCACACGACACACAAGCTCCAGCCGCTAGATGTGTCCGTTTATGGCCCTTTCGGAACTTATTTCCAAAATGAAATTGACAAGTGGCAAAAAGCGCATCCTGCACAACGCACTACGTTGTTTGGTGTACGCAAAATTTTTAATAATGCCTACCTTAAAGCTGCAACACCAACAAACGCTATAAAAGGTTTCGAAAAAACTGGCATTGCAAGATGTGATTTAGATGTTTTTTCCGAAGTGGACTTCCTTCCAGCAGATGTAACTAACATTGAAGAACCAGAGGTCCGTATTAACCATAATCCTCAAGATATGGATGTTATTGAAATTGGACCGCCCAATACATCTGCCCATAATGATATCGCAAAACCTGAACCTTCTGGTCTCAATAATAGTACGACCTTAAAACAAGCTAGTGACGCTCCAAAAGGAAATAATCGCATTAAAATTATTGATATTCATATTATACCTAAATGTGATAAACGAAAAGAACCCAAAACAAAAAGGAATCAACAGAAATCAGAGATTTTGACTTGTACGCCAATTAAAGAAGAAATTAGAGAAAAAAGTAAGAGCAAAGAATGTGTCAAAAGCGTTAGAAGGAAGATCCAACAAGAGACAGATTCCAGCAAACTGAAAATACCTCGTCCACCTTCACCACCGAAAACCGCTCCAGATGAAGAAGAAACTCCATGTTTGATATGTGACGATTCCTTTGAAAACTCCATTCCAGGCGAACACTGGATACAGTGCAATTTCTGTGAGAAGAAATCAGAAATGCACAAGCTACAAGACTGGAATTTATATTTGTCAAGATTGTCAAAATCAGGTCAAAGATCAGAGAACATAATTGAGTTAAGAATAATTATAGAATACCTTTTTAATAATAATAATAATAATAATAATAATAATAATAATAATAAAATGTCTTTATTAGGCACATTATATACACTACAACATAATGTGACCTCTACGTAGGCGAAGTCTTGCTCTTGGCTACTCTACTTAACCTACCCAAATACTAAATTGAAACACTCAATCAAAGGAAACTTTGACAAGCAAAAGACGCTTCAAAACAACGAGCTTGATAGCTTCCTAGCATACATATATACACACATATATTACGTAAAATAAAATTAAATGTAAGAATTAAAAACTAACTTTTCCACAATTACTACAATGACAAATAAATCTGTTTCACATGCTTACGAAATCTGTTTACTGGCCAATCCTTTATATTGTCATCTAATTCATTATAAATCAGGATAGCATTGTAAGTGTATGAACTACGAAATAAAGTTGTTTTATACATAGGGATCTCTAGTCTTTTTTTGTGTCTGAAATCAATGTCTGAATTATTTCGTCTGAAAACAAATTTCTCATAAAGATACAAGGGGGATCTAGAAGATATGATCTTATGTGTAAACACTGCTATATGGTACTTGCAAGCATTTTCTATACACATCCAACCAAGCTGAAATCTCTTTAAGGAAACATGATCATACTTCTTGAGATTAAATACAAATCGACAACAAGTATTTTGGAGTTTTTGGAGTCTTGCTTTTGTGATAGAATCAAGACAATGATAGAACACAGTGCTACAGTAAAATAAGCTTGGAAATATAATAGCCTCACATAACTTTTTTCTAACTTTAAAATTCAAAATAGAGCGATTGACATAAAAACACTTCAACGTTGCATAACATTTTTTTAAGATAGACGAAACATGCTCCATAAACCGTAAAGTATAATCAATAATCAACCCTAAATTTTTTGTAGTATTTACGACAGCTAGACGCTCCTTGTCGATTTTTACATCAAGAGAATTCAATACAGTGTTACGTTTGACAGCAGGACAAAAAAGCATCACTGAGCACTTATCCTTATTGAGCTTAAGATTATTACCATTTGAGTATCCTACTATTGCCTCCAAATCATCATTAAGCTCATTGATTGAAGTATGCAAAGTGTTACTATTAAAGCTTTTATATATCTGTGTATCATCGGCATAGCACATCACAGAAGAGTTTTTCACAGAGCTACCCAAGTCTATAGTATAAATTAAGTACAACAAGGGCCCTAAAACTGAACCCTGAGGGACACCTGATGTTATATCAATCGGACTAGATATAGTGTTGTCTATCTCTACTACTTGTTTACGATTTGAAAGATATGTTATAAAAAACATTAGAGGTATGTCTGAAAAATCAAAAAACTTCAATTTAGCACATAAAAGCTCATGATCTATTTTATCGAACGCCTTAGAATAATCTAATGATACAAGTGCTGAAGCATCTCCCTTATCAAGCGAAGCAATGATGTCATCTAAAACCCTTGCTAAAGCTGAAGTTGTACTAAAACCACTGCGGAAACCAGATTGACACTTGGGAAAGAAATCATTATTAGAGAAATAATGATAAACCTGATGTTTAATCAATTTCTCCAATATCTTCGATATAACAGGAATCAAAGTTATAGGTTTTAAGTCTGAGAGACATTTTGGATTTTTACATTTAGGCAAGGGTTTGACAAGAGATAGTTTCCAAGCATCAGGGAAATACCCAGCCTCCAGGCAACAGTTCAATAAATGCGTCAGGGGTAGTAATACTCGAGGCAAGCAAAGCTTCAGCATTGAGACTGTTATACCATCCGAACCTGCTGCATTAGATTTTAGGGACAGAATAATGTCTAGCACATTTTGTGGGGTAGCAAAACTAAATTCAAATCTAGCACTTTCATTAATTTTGGTACTATTAAATTTATCAACTAGATCCTTGCAATTGCCCGAAGGCGTGAAAACGGAAGAAAAATAATTGTTTACTTCATCGGTATTCTTCAACTGTGTAGGTAAAGATCTATCTACATTAGTTTTGAGTTTCAATGAATGTACAGCTTTCCAGAGATGCTTGTTACTATTTAGTTGTTCATTGAAGCTTAGATATGCTGCTTTCTCCCGCCTAATAGCGGAAATGACATCATTTCTTAATTTCTGGTAATATTCGAGACTAGCTGGACTTTTTAAAATCTGATATTTTCTAAAGGCCTTATTTCTCTCGGAGATCAAAAATTTTATGCCACCTGTGAGCCATGTAGCATAAGGTTTAGTAATACGTGATGAAATAACAGGACCATGGACATCAAACAAATCCAAAATATGATATTAGAAAAAAACGTAGCTTTATCCTCTAAGTTAGTGATGTAATATATATCGTCCCATGGGATTTTATACAAATCCACCAAAAACTGATCTTTACAACAGTGTTTAAAATCTCTATATTTGACAGTCTTTTGAAAATTCTTAGGCCGTGTGATGTTGAAGTCACATCTGACTACATTATGATCTGACAAATTCGGAACAGGTACAGAGCTAGTTGAAATTATTGATTCAGCTAAGTTATTTGTTGTACAAATGACATCTATGGAGGTTGCCGTGGTTAAAGTTATCCTAGTTGGTTGGGTGATGTGAGATACCATATCGTAGCACGCAATGCAATCTAGAAAAGAATGGTCAGTAATTTGATCAACGTTTATATCACCCAGCAAGCATATATTATCATACTGAGGAGACACAAATGAGAGAAAGTTGTCTATATGATCAATAAAACTTGATAATCTGCTCGAAGGAGCTCTGTAGATAACACAAACCAAAATTTTTAGATTATTCAACACTATTTCAGCACAAACCTGCTCCATACCATCTGGACATAAAAAATCTTGCAATACCAGCTTACCTCTCAGTGAATCCCTTAAATAAACACCAACTCCTCCTCCACGTCCTACTCGATCAGTATGGAAAAAAGTGTACTCAGGAATATTTACTATATCTGCTGTAAAATCATTATTAATCCATGTTTCGGAGATACCCATAATATCATAGTTATCAGTAGTCAACAAATCTACAAAGGAATCAAAGCCAGCAAACAGAGATCTTACATTCAGGTGTCCAACAACAAAATGGTTATAAGTTTTTGTGCAATTATTCATAAGCAATCTGCATTTTCAAATTATCGATCTTCATTTTGTAATAACTGCAAGAGGTATCACTTGCAACATGCTTTGTACACCAGTTAGTTTTATATCTATCATTATGAAACTTACAGTTAGGACAACAAGAATCATCAGCTTTACAATCTCTAAATTCATGAAAACCTGAGCACTCTCAGTTTCTACTAATAATAGTTTTTTTTATTTTATATATATCAAGATTAATAAAATCAGGTTAAAGATTAGAGAAAATAATTAGGTTAAGAGAATAATTATTGTAAGAGTTACCATTTTCAGTTTTCCTTAATGATAATATATATTTTTCTATTTTCCATATTATATATTTTCTTTTGAATCCTTTTGCCCTCACCTGTGATTCCTTTTACCCTAGAGGGTCGGGCAAATAGAATCAAATACAGTCTTTAATAATTTAGGCCGTAACTTGCTCAAACTATATTGTAAAGTTAAAATAGTACTGTTTAATGTTTCTGAAATAATTAAAATCCACATAAAAGTATTCAGATAGATCATTTTTTAATAATTTCGTGCTATGAATTGGCACTCTCCGAAAGTGATTCCGGCTGCCCATGTCTCCCCTATCATCCGAAAATATAAATTCAAAAAAGGTACATTGTTTCGAATTATTTCAACTGAAACCAACAAATCTATAGAATTACTACCGTTTGTACCATCTTATAACAGATATAATCGTTTAAAAATATTCCATGATGATCAGTGTCATGTAGGTTGGGAAAAAACTCTTAAATCACTAAAACTCTACTTTTGGTTTCCTAATATGGCTCGGTACGTTAAGAAATATGTTGAACATTGTTTACTATGTGCTGTGCGGAAAAATCGAACTGGTCCAAAGCAAGGCTTCCTCACCTCTCTACGAAAGCCCAACGAACCATTTCATACAATCCATGGTGATTGTCTTGGTCCTTTACCTGGAAATCCAAGCAATTATAAGTACATATTTGTCTTGGTGGATGCCTTCTCAAAATTCTGCCTTCTCTACCCCCAGTCCACTGTTACGTCCGAAAAAACCAGACAAAGCTTTGCTAACTTCATCATATTCGGAACCCCAGCAAAACTAATCCACGATGCTGGCACTAATTTTACCGCTAAAAGTTTCAAAGCATTTACCGAACACTTTGGTATCGAGGTTCACGTGACAACCCCGGGTGTACATCGCTCCAAATAGAACGATACATGCGAACCATAACAAACTTGCTGAGAATTGAATCAAAGAAATCGTCAGATTGGCCGAACAAACTTTGGAAAATCCAACTAGTAATGAACACCACAAAACAGAAGACCACTGGCTATTCCCCTTTAAATTAGTTTTTGGTCAAGAAGGACAAACTCCTCAGATTCGTACAGTCTTAGCAGATTTACCCACTCCTGAAGCCACTAAAAATCCAATCGATTCTACCACCGTTCTTAAAAAAATGAAAAAAAATGCTGAAGAACAAGTTATTTCCCTCAACAAGAAGCGTAGGAATAACCAGTCATTCAAAGTTGGTGATGTTGTTTTGTTAAGCCGAGGTCATAGGGCAGAGAAATTTACATGCGGTCGTACTCTCGGAATGTCCGGGTGGAGGGTGGGCTCGAGGGAACAACATCGAAGATAAAATTTGTTTTTCGAACATCTGCGGGATCAACAGCAACATTGATGCTGTTCATCACTACCTGCAATCCAATCGTCCCGCCGTGCTTTTCTTGGCGGAGACAAAAATCTCAGAGGCTGCACCGATTAACCATCTCAACTTCCCAAACTACGAGGTGCACTCCAATCTGAGAAAGAACGGGGGAGTTGTGGCTTTTGTCCGCAGCAGTCTTTCCTGCTCCAGGGATCTTTCTTTGGAATCAGACCGGAAGGACATTCTGTGGCTTCGCCTCAACTCCAAAACATCACCCAAATTTATTTGCTGCCTTTATCGCTCTCCCTCGAACCATAACTGGGATGACCTACTCGAATACCTCGCCGTCCAGATCGACTTCCTGAACATCAATCACCCCGCTTCAGAGGTAGTCCTTCTCGGTGATTTCAATGCCCATAATGAGCTTTGGTTGGGCTCAAATAAGACCGATGCAGCAGGTCGTGCAGTCGAAGCGTTCGCTCTTACTCAAGGGCTGACCCAGCTGGTGACGAGCCCTACTTTTTTCCCCCGCATCTTGTCACACGCCAGTAGCCTGCTGGATCTCTTTCTGACCACGCATCCTGCCCCTAACAGCACTGCCGTCCTGTCCCCCCTGGGTAACTCAGATCACGGTGTTGTGGAGGTTAGGTTTCGGTCAGAAGCCGCTGTGGCCGCAGAAACTCGCACAGGCCGCAAAACTTGGCATTACGGACATGCCGACTGGAAGGGGCTCAGAGACTTCTTCTCTAGCTTTCCTTGGAGAGATGTCTGTTTCACTGACGCGGATGCGTCGACTGTCTGTTCTTCAATAACCGAAATTATCCACGTCGGAATGGAGGAATACATCCCTCACACAGTGAAAGTTCCTAAACCAGGGTCCAACGGCTGGTTCAACAAATCGTGTGACACTACTCGCCAGCAGAAGATCAAGGCCCACAGAACCTACTTACAAAACCCCACTGTAGAGAACAGACAAGCCGACGTCGAGTCCAGAAACAAATATAACGAAGCGGTTCGCAATGCCAAAACCCAGCATGATATAAAAGTTAGGCACAGGGTAATGTCGCAGCGCAATGGCAGTCGGTCTTTCTGGACGCTGGCCAAGCAGATTGAAAAGAACTTCTCACACAGTGGCCTTCCACCACTTACGTGTCAGGATGTATTCGACTCAAAGGCCAAGGCGGAAGTGCTAGCCAAGATCTCTGCTGCCAACTCCACCATGGACGTCCCCACCAACGCCCAAGTGCCGTCAATTCAAAGGGTTCCCCACACTATGCGGGAGGTAACATTCAGGCATAAGACCGTAAGACGAGTGCTCTTGTCGCTCGACATCAACAAAGCTTCTGGTCCGGACTTGATTCCTGCCATTGTACTGAAGAGATGTGCAGCTGAGCTTGCTCCAGTTCTTTCGCGTCTCTTCCAGATATCTTACGAATCCGGCACCTTCCCAGAAAACTGGAAATTTGCTCATGTACAGCCCATCCCAAAAAAAAGATCTAAAACCGACCCTTACAACTACAGGCCTATAGCTCTGCTTTCTGTTATAAGTAAAGTGATGGAGAGGTGCATAAATCGCGAGCTTCTGGACTACCTCGAACGTCACAGCTTGATTAGCGACAGGCAGTACGGTTTCCGGCACCAACGATCCACAAGGGACCTCCTAGCTTACGTCACGCAACTGTGGAGTAAACTCATCCAGTCTCATGGTGAGGCTCATGTCGTTGCTCTTGACATCACGAAAGCGTTCGATCAGCTGTGGCACGCTGCCCTCTTGAGCAAACTTCCATCCTACGGCCTCCCAGAAAAGCTTTGCAGATGGGTGGCTGACTTTATCTCTGACCGCAAGATATCCGTCGTAATTGACGGATTCTCCTCTTCATCCCACAACGTCAACGCGGGTGTTCCCCAGGGATCGGTCTTGGCTCCAACACTGTTTCTCTTACATATCAACGACCTCCTTTCCTGCACGATCAACCCAATCCACAGCTTCGCTGATGACAGCACTCTACATGCAGGAATTCAGAGTGACAAGCCGATCTCTGCCGCTGAGCTGGAAAAAAGAAGACTAGCGACGACTTCTTCTCTGACAAGAGACCTGGAGGCTATCACTGCTTGGGGACGCAACAATCTTGTACAGTTCAATGCTTCCAAAACACAGTACTGTACTTTGACGAACAAAAAGCGTCCTAGCGCTCATACAGTTTCGATGGACGGTCGAGTCCTACCAAAGAGCCATTCATTTCGGCTGGTCGGAGTCCAGATCACCGAGGACCTGATCTGGCACGAACACATCTCTTCAATAGCTGCAGCTGCTGGGAAAAAGCTAGGCTATTTGTTTAGGGCTAAGAAGTACTTTTCTCCGCATGACCTTCTCACTCTATACAAGGCCCAGATAAGGCCTAGCCTCGAGTATTTCTCGCACATTTGGGGTGCTGCCGCCCCGACTACATTGTCCATGCTCGATGCTGTCCAGAGCAGGGCGGTCCGACTGATCGATGACTCTTCTCTAACAGACAGTCTCGGGACTCTTTCGCACCGGCGGGCCGTCGGCGATCTAGCTCTTTTCTATCGCTACACCAACGGGCTTTGCTCCTCAGAGCTCTCTTCCATGATGCCGCCGCGCGATGTGCCTGCCAGACAGACCCGCCTGACCTCGGCGTCCCATCCTAACCGTGTCAAACTTCGTACATCCAGAACTGGCCGATACGACCGCTCCTTTGTCCCGAGGGTGTCTAGATTGTGGAACAAACTACGGGAGGAAGCTTTTCCCAGTTCTACTAACCTTAAGCAGTTCAAAAATCGTATTAACAAAATTTCTTTGGGATCATCATAGCAGCCGCAGTGTTCCGGCATTTAGGCTTCGGCCTGCGCGGCTGTTTCGATATAAAAAAAAAAAAATGCGAATTCGTGGGACCCTATGTCATTAAACAACTATTAGCTAATGACCGATACTCAATTCAAAAACTGGGCACGAGAATGACTCTTAAGTGTTCAAAGGACCAGTTGCGTCACTGGCCAATCGAGTGGACTCCTGAGGATTTCCAAAATCTGCTAGAATTAAATGATTGTAAATAATTCATCTTATTTCGATCAATGCATGCCGTGTTAGATTGTTGATAGATTGCGTAACAAACCGATCTTATTAATCTATGACCCATCGAAAAAAGTGCACATTGCAATATTTCCATCGTGTCATTCTAAAACCCTGATATTAAATGACCCATCGTAAATATGTGCATATTGCAATATTTCCATCGTGTCATTCTAAGTCCTGATATTAAATGACCCATCGAGAATACGTGCATATAGCAGTATTCCCATCGTGTCATCTGATGAATTCCTGTTATAGCAAAAAATTAGTTGTTGGTGTTGAATCAGCAGTATTTTCATCGTGTCATCGAATGAAATCCTGTTACAAAAGACTATTGAGCAGTTACTGACGGAGCAGTCTGAGTAATGCTCTTCTTTTGCTTATTTCAGCAACTACCAGCGAAATAGACGAGCAAGCTAAATCTCGACTATCAACCTTTGGAAGATGATGTTCAATAATAATCATGGCTTATAAGTACCTACATGCTGAGTAGGCATATATACCATAGTCGTGGTGTTCGCAATTTTGTAACTAGTTATCCATGTACTCCTGTAACTAGTTATCCATGTATTTTTGTAATTAGTTATCCAGGTATTTTCGTAATTTTGTAACCAATTATTCATGTACCTTCTAAATCTCTTTATCGTTAGATACTATAATAAAACTGTTTGCTGTTAATTTGCCCAGAATTATTGTCATGAGGGCTATACATTCCGAGAGCGGAATGATGTCAGTTTGGCCGTATTAGATTCTATTTCAAATATCTAAACTTGGCTCTCCCTATAACACTGTTTGGTCGCTCACGCATGTGCGCCCAAGAACGGCGCGGGAGAAGACGTACTGCCGCGCCGGGCAGACACTGCCTGACATTGACCGTGAGTGGTCGTAAATTGTAAAAATCTAACAATGTAGTCGGGGCGGTAGCACCCCATTCATGTGAGCAGTACTCGAGGCTAAGTCATGTGAAAAAAGTACTTCTTAGCCGTAAACAAATAGACTAGCTTTTTTTCGAGCAGCTGCCGCTATTGCCAGATCAAGTCCTCGGTGATTTGGACTCTGACCAGACGAAATGAACGGCTCTTTGGTAGAACTGGGCCATCTATCGTAGCCGGATGAGCACTAGGACGCTACTTGTTAGTCCAGGTACAGTATCTACTGTGTTTTTGGAAGTATGAAACTGTAGCAGATTGTTGCGCCGCCGAGTAGTGATAACCTACAGGTCTCTCGTCAGAGATCGGCTGTCATTCTGAGTTACTCCATGAAGAGTGCTGTCATCTGCAAGGCTATGGATCGGATTGATCGTACAGGAAAGGAGGTCGTTGATATGTAAGTGGAACAATGTCAAAGCCCAGACAGAGCCCTGGGGAACACCCGCGTTGACACTGAGGGATGAAGAGGAGAACCCGTCAATTACGATGGATACCTTGCGGCCAGAGAGGAAGTCACACATCTGCAAAGCTTCTCTGGGAGGACATAGCATGGAAGTTTGCATAACAGCTGATCGAACGCTTTCGTGGTATCAAGAGCAAAAAAAACTGATGAAAACTTTTCAAAATTTCCTAATTAAACAGCGATTATGAAAACGCACACGGACCCTTAAGGATAACTGTTTGCACAACAGTGGGCGTCAAAATGCTGCTGATGATGATTTACCTTTACAGCAAATGCTCAAACTGTTTTCCTTCAGCCGCAATACACGCTCGACATCTTAATAAAGATCGGGTTATTAAACGAACGAGTCCACGGTTATTAACAAACTCAGCTGCTTCCAATAGTCTTTGCCGTAGCTCAGCTACATTTTGAATCAGCTTGAAATACACTTTTTCTTTTACAGTTCCCCAGTAAAAAAATCTAAAGGATTCAAATCAGGTGATCGGGCTGGCCACGGTATTGTACCAGACCGCCTTATCCATCTGCCTGGAAAGTTTTGATCGAGATACTCTCTCACTGAGAGTGCATAGTGCGCTGGGCAGCCATCATGCTGAAACCACATGTCCCTGTAAATATTCAGTGGCACGTCCACCAATAAATTTTGTACATGATTTTTCAAAAAATCCAAATAAACTTCAGCAGTCAAAGTCTCTGGGAACTCAAACGGACCGATTATTTTACCATTTAAAATTCCTGTCCAATAGTTTATCTTGAAGCGATATTGAGATTTATCTTCTCTCATCAAATGTGGGTTTGCTACGTGCCACTCGTGTAAGTTATGCAGGTTCATGTACCCATCTTTCTTAAATGTGGTCTCATCCGACCATAAAATTTTTTCAAAGAACTGTGGATCTTTCCTGTGTCTTTCTAACATTGTGCGACAAAAAGCAACTCGGGGCTCATAATCCCGGGGCAGGAGAGGTTGAACACGCTGTATGTGGTATGGATGAAGCACATCACTTACTTGCTATTGCACATTTTGATACCGATCAGTACTCCTTCGTTTACCGCGCATCTTTACATGTTCGTGCTTGTTGATTTCGTACTTTTACTAATTTTAGATTCCTGAACTGGACTGTTGATCGCTTGTGATTTGGGTTTGGACTGTTTAATTGCTCTTCAAAACAACATTTGCTTTCCTTAGACTATCTTTGATAGTGTGATTGTGCAGTGCCACTATGTCCGTGTACACCGTACAAGAATATGCTAACATGCCTCATTTATGGGGAATGCAGATGCAACGCTAGTGCTGCAGCGAGACTTTACTGTGAGAGGTACCCGAATGCAGCTCGTCATCCAGATCATCGAGTGTTTACAAATGTGCACCGCTTACTGTTCTCAGAGGGCCAACTAGCAAACCAATCACACGGTGAGGGAAGATCTTTCCTTCCTTACGAAGACGTGGTGCTAGGAGCTGTCGAAGAAGACCCGAGTACTTCAGTGCGTGCAATAGTACTAAAAACAGGTGTGCCCAAAAGTACAGCCCACAGAATCTTGCAAAAAAACGTGCTCCATCCATACCACGTACAGCGTGTTCAAGCTCTTCTGCCCCGGGATTATGAGCCCCGAGTTGCTTTTTGTCGCACAATGTTAGAAAGACACAGAGAAGATCCACGGTTCTTTGAAAAAATTTTATGGTCAGATGAGACCACATTTAAGAAAGATGGGTACATGAACCTGCATAACTTACACGAGAGGCACGTAGCAAACCCACATTTGATGAGAGAAGATAAACCTCAATATCGCTTCAAGATAAACCATTGGACAGGAATTTTAAATGGTAAAATAATCGGCCCGTTTGAGTTCCCAGAGACTTTGACTGCTGAGGTTTATTTAGGTTTTTTGCAAAATCATTTAGAAAATTTATTGGAGGACGTGCCACTGAGTATTTACAGGGACATGTGATTTCAGCATGATGGCTGCCCAGCGCACTATGCACTCTCAGTGAGAGAGTATCTCGATCAAAACTTTCCAGGCAGATGGATAGGGCAGTCTGGTACAATACCGTGGCCAGCCCGGTCACCAGATTTGAGTCCGTTAGATTTTTTTTACTGGGGAACTGTAAAAGAAAAAGTGTATTTCAAGCCGATTCAAAATGTAGCTGAGCTACGGCAAAGACTATTGGAAGCAGCTGAGTTTGTTAATAACCGTGGATTCGCTCGTTTAATAACCCGATCTTTTTTAAGATGATGTCGAGCGTGTATTTCGGCTGAAGGAAAACAGTTTGAGCATTTGCTGTAAAGGTAAATCATCATCAGCAGCATTTTGACGCTCACTGTTGTGCAATTCATAATCACTGTTTAATTAGGAAATTTTGAAAAATTTTCATCAGTTTTTCTTCAAATAAAAATTGTGCATAAGTTAACGAGTAATCTTCTAAGTGTTATACCATTTTGGAATCCTTATTAAATGCGCCAACTTTTAAGGTTACTTGCCAAACTCTCGTAGTACATTTTTTTCCAGTACAGCCAGTTAAAGTTGAGCAAAGTTTTACTTTGGAATACTTGGTTAGGAAATAAGTGGCAATTTTTCCTGAACGAGAAAAGTTGGCAGTAAGGTTGAGACACCAGTTTGAAGATGCATTATTCATCATTACATTGTAAAAATAAAATCCAAAAAAAGTTAATATTTGTAGTAACAGGAGTTGACAGACTGCCGTAGGGTGTGAAATTTCTATATTTTTTTCAAAGACCTATAATTTTCAAAACACATACATAAAATTTTTTTAAATATTTTTCTGATAGCTGTTATGACTTTGCCTATCACCCAGTTTCGGCTTGACGTCGACTTCTGGGACACCCTGTATGTATGGTGAATATGCTTGAATCAATAAATAAAGAGAGCGACGCAGTGGCATTCCCAGATATTTCTGTTTAGTTCTGTGAGCTTTATTATTTGGCGCATGTTTCTAATCTAGCTGCAAGCTCTTAAACAACTTGTTCACAAAGCGGAAGAAATTTATTTTTGTCTGGAAGCTCCTCGACGTGCTTAGTGGAACCCCAGTTAAAATTTGATGGCGCAGAATGATGACGTCAGACTTGGACTAAAAATAAAACAGAGCGTCCCTCATCTCTTCATGAATATTAACGGACGACACTGTTTTCCGAGTTCCCAGGGAATCACTAAATTCCCTTTACTTAATTGCTAGAAAATGAACAATTAAGTGCGGTCTCCCGCAACCTATATCCTCGTAATATTATACTTTACAAAACCCCGCACAATACCCCAAATATACCCTTCAATTAGCCCAAACATTAAAAACATACTGATTAGTTCATGACGTGATTTCATACTGGCTGCAATAGCTATAGTCTTTTTACTAGTTTTATAAGGGTTTTTCTGGTCTTAAACGTAACACAACCATCTACATGAAGAGCCCCTTCTAGATATGGCACTATCCCTTCTTAAAGTCAAGACATATCCGTCGTTCTAAGCAACAACTATACTTATTATTAAGAACAGAACAAAAATTCACTTTCAGAAGCCTAGCCTGCTTTTTTAGAATTATGAACATTGGCGTGGAATCCGTTTTTCCAGTCAGCGTAATATTTGACAGTCCTGACGTTTCCATCTTCTTCCAACAAGGAGTATTCTCCCTCGACTACGTCACCTTTCCTCTCCTCCTTGTGATGTTTGACGTCATGCGTTTTTTGATCGTTCACTTCGTACTCGAATTTGTAGTATACATTTTTGTCGTGATGATGATCTGAAAGAAAATTTAATAGAGTATTTTACATAAAACTTTATTTCAACAGAATATTCAATTTTACCTCAAAAATTTGTTGTTCAATGTTCAAACTTGAAATTTCACGCCAAAGCTATGCGGTCATAAGCTCTAGCGTGACGCAAAACAATCTGACATGCCTTGTTCTTATAAGCGACCTTGCTTCTAACGTTTAGAGGACGATATTGAAGGCTTAGAAATTGACTTGGAAGTACTATCATGTTCTAAGAGTACCCGGAACAAAATGTAAACCACATTAGCGGATTCTTTCGCCGGGAAATACGGAGCATTTAAATAACGAATACTTTATGTGTCTTTATCAACAAAGTCAGACGAGGCAGAAGGAGCAAACCTATGATTTTCTTGTCTCCAAAATCTTTGCATGCAGTCAGGATGAAAGTGGATACTACAAGTGAACTTGACATAAATCGATTCTTCCACATATATGATATTAAATAAGTATGTTTAGTGTTATTTCTTGAAAGTGTTGGAATTTATGATTTGACAAAATTTAAATCAAATTTACCGTAAAGCTTTACTAAGCTTACGGCATTTGACGAAATTTAATTCAAATTTACCGTAAGGCCTTGCTAAGCTATGACATTGGCGAAATTTAACTTAAATTTACCGTGAATCCCTACTAAACTTACAGCATTTAACGAATTTAAGTCAAGATTACCGTAAATCCTTACTAAGATGACGGCATTCAACGAGATTTAAGTCAAACTGGCTATAAAGCCTTAGTGAGCTTGCAGTATTTAATGAAATGTAATTCAAATTCACCGTAAAGCCTTGCTAAGTGAATGACATTTGACAAAAATTCAGTTAAATATACCGTAAGGCCTTACTAAGCTTACAGTATTTAACGAAATTTAATTCAAATTTACCGTAAAGCCTTGCTAAGCTTATGAGACGTGTCGCAACTTAAATTGCCTTACTAAGCTTATGGCATTTGACGAAATTTAAGTTGAACTTACCGTAAAGCCTTACTAAACTTATAGCATTTAATGAAATTTAAGTTAAATTAACCGAAAGCTCTACTAAGCTTACGGCTTTTAACGAAATTTAAGTTAAACTTATCGTACAGCCTTGCTAAGCTTATGACATTTGACAAAATTTAAGTTAAATTTATCAACAAAGTCAGACTAGGCAGAAGGAGCAAACCTATTATTTTCTTGTCTCCAAAATCTTTGCATGCAGTCAGGATGAAAGTGGATACTACAAGTGAACTTGACATAAAGCGATTCTTTAACATTTATGACATTAAATTCACATTTCTAGCGTTATTTCTAAGAAAGTGTGGGTGTTTGTGGTTTGTCAAAATTTAAGTTAAATTTACCGTAAGGCTTTACTAACCTTACTGCATTTAAGTCGTGATTACCGTAAAACCTTACTAAGATTACGGCATTTAATGAGATTTAAGTCAAATTGGCCATAAAGCCTTAGTGAGCTTGTAGTATCTAATGAAATGTAATTCAAATTTACCGTGAAGCCTTTCTAAGTTAATGACATTTGACAAAAATTCAGTTAAATTTACCGTAAGGCCTTACTAAGCTTACAGTATTTAACGAAATTTAATTCAAATTTACCGTAAAGCCTTGCTAAACTTATGAGGCGTGTCGCAACTTAAATTGCCTTACTAAGCTTATGACATTCGACAAAATTTAAGTTGAACTTACCGTAAAGCCTTACTAAACTTATAGCATTTAATGAAATTTAAGTTAAATTAACCGAAAGCTCTACTAAGCTTACGGCATTTAACGAAATTTAAAACAAACTTATCGTAAGGCCTTGCTAAGCTTATGACATTTGACGAAATTTAAGTTAAATTTATCAACAAAGTCAGACTAGGCAGAAGGAGCAAACCTATTATTTTCTTGTCTCCAAAATCTTTGCATGCAGTCAGGATGAAAGTGAACCAGTGAACTTGACATAAAGCGATTCTTTAACATTTATGACATTAAATTCACATTTCTAGCGTTATTTCTTGAAAGTGTGGGTGTTTGTGGTTTGACGAAACTTAAGTTAAATTTACCGTAAAGTTAAATTATTCGCAAGCTCTACTAAGCTTACGGTATTTAACGAAATTTAAGTCAAACTTATCGTTAAGCCTTGCTAAGGTTATAACATTTGACGAAATTTGAGTTAAATTTAACAAAAAGCCTTAGAACAAGCCTCATGAAGGTAGATCTTTCCACCGGTAAGTATTATTATATTGATACAGCGTTGTCATTTTGGTAGGCATGGGTAGTCAATAAATATGCACTAAAACTACGCAATTTTGGTGACAAACAATGCAATCTAGACATATAGGCTTGACTCCATCTAATCTATTCGAATTCGTTTGTTTTTATTTTGCTCTTCACACCCGCGGGTCTACTCAACCTCGATCAAACTTATCTCTCAAGTCACAGGCGTGACAGTACAAACTTCATAAACATTTTTTCCAGCACACGAGCGAAAAAAAATGACAAATGGATGTGAACAACTTGCTACGCATTAATATAATTTAATGCATAGAAACTTTTTGTGACCAATTTTGAATGGTATCCTAGTCAAGAAAACGTAACAATGATATAACTTTTGTTTATTTAGGTGATTCTTTCACATGTATGACATTAAATTCATATTTTTAGTGTTATTTCTTGAAAGTGTGGGTGTTTGTGGTTTGACGAAATTTAAGCTAAATTTACCGAGAATCCCTACTAAGCTTACAGTATTTAATGAAACTTAAGTCAAGATTACCGTAAACCCTTACTAAGATTACGGCAGTTAATGAGATTTAAGTCAAATTGGCCATAAAGCCTTAGTGAGCTTGCAGTATCTAATGAAATGTAAGTCAAATTCACCGTAAAGCGTTGCTAAGTTAATGACATTTGACAAAAATTCAGTTAAATTTACCGTAAGGCCTTACTAAGCTTACAGAATTTAACGAAATTCAATTCAAATTTACCGTAAAGCCTTGCTAAGCTTATGAGAGGTGTCGCAACTTAAATTAAATTTACTGTAAACCCTTAGTAAGATTATGACATTTGACGAAATTCAAGTTGAACTTACCGTAAAGCCTTACTGAAATTTTACATTTAATAAAATTTAAGTTAAATTAACCGAAAGCTCTACTAAGCTTACGGTATTTAACGAAATTTAAGTCAAACTTATCGTAAAGCCTTTCCTAAGGTTATAACATTTGACGAAATTTGAGTTAAATTTACCGAAAGCCTTAGAACAAGCCTCATGAAGGTAGATCTTTCCACCGGTAGGTATTATTATATTGATACAGCGTTGTCATTTTGGTAGGCATTGGTACTCAATAAATATGCACTAAAACTACGCAATTTTGGGGACAAACAATGCAATCTAGACATATAGGCTTGACTCCATCTAATCTATTCAAATTCGTTTGTTTTTATTTTGCTCTTCACACCCGCGGGTCTACTCAACCCCGATCAAACTTCTCTCAAGCCACAGGTGTGACAGTACAAACTCCATATACATTTTTTCCAGCACATGAGCGAAAAAAAAATGACAAATGGATGTGAACAACTTGCTACGCATTAATATAACTTCCTGTATAGAAACTTTTTGTGACCAATTTCGAATGGTATCCTAGTCAAGAAAACGTAACAATGATATAACTTTTTTGTTTATTTAGGTGACAGCACAGAATAAACGTGGTTGGTTTTATAATGCATGCTGAAATAAATAGTTCGTACAAAAAGGGCTTGTGATCATCCAAAGTCGTAAAATTGCGCTGGGTGAATAATAAATTTGAAATTTAAAGTTCGATTACTAAACTTTCTCTGGAGTTTAGCTCTGTGGCTTTACCTTTGTGATCTTCGTCAGAAGTCTTATCAGAATGTAACTTAGGTGAGATGTGTTGTTCTATATTGATGTAATGGTTATCTTGGTGACTTGAAACCTTGGACACTACTGGTTGGGAAGCACCATATTCTTCATGCTGGTCTTGGTGAGCATGATTGACAGGAGCTGGTGTGTACTGATTCTGGAAACAACACGAAAATACATGTTTAGGTTTCATCACGTAGAATAAATTGATACTTACAAAATAGCAAGGTCAGTGGCAGAGTAGTAGAATGTTTCGTGAAGAAACATCTTTGATTTTATTTTAAAACAGTTCATTGTTTGACTACTTTTAATATAGGTAGGTTGCCTATTAAAAATCTTGGGACCAATATGTTTTATGTAATATTATTATTATACAAATATAAATATAGCATAAAGAATATGCAAGTGTTCGCTTCTCTTAGTTGCAAAATTATCTAACTCATCATATACAATAAAGTTGTGCTGGTTGGAGAAGATGTAAACAAACTAAAAACAATTTTTACAGAAACGAGTTCATTAGACTAAGATCACTCATCAAATCACATATAAAAGTTGCATACGAAAACTATTTGCAAGAAGTTCAAGAGTCGGTGAGAAATAACCCAGCTTCTTTTTGGTCATTTATATATCAAAAGAACAAAACATCATGGATTCCATGTCATATGACTCATCTGAATAATGATTTCGGTGATCATCAGTCAATTGTAAATACTTTCGCTGAATTTTTCAAGACAGTTTATTTGCCATCTGATACCTATTGCGGTGAAAACCTATCTTCTAACATCCAATGTATTGTCAACTTAACTCAGGAGAGTATAACTGAAAATGAAATATGTGATGTAGCAAAAAAACTGAAGTCCGAGCTGACCTCAGAACCAGATAAGCTCCCCTCTGTCCTGGTCAAGGATTGTGCGCTTGGTATAGTAGATGCTCTGGTTATTCTTTTTAATCTCATATTATCTACAGCTAAATTCCCAGATAAACGGAAGAAAACCAGGGTAAGCTAATCAATAATTTGACAGAACTAAAAACCTTGTATTATGCTTATATAAGATCCAAGTTAGAGTATGCATCCCTAATATGTAATCCTTATACAAATAGGATGGATTATGTTCAAAAAAAGTTTTTCAAATATCTAGCTTTTAAGTGCGATAGAGTCTACCCTCGACGTGGGTCGAACTATCAAATTATGTTAGACAGATTTAAAGTGGCGTCTTTGAATGTGAGAAGGAGGCACAGTTCCATTAATTTTTTGTTTAAACTCTTGCATAGAACTATAGTTTCTTCGGAATTGTTATCACAACTACAGTTTTTAACGCCAATATCCGTTACAAGATGTAATGTTACTTTCCTTTGCAGTCGTGCTAACACAAATTTGATTTTGAAATCACCTGAAAGAGTTATGTGTTTGAATTATAATAGTATAAGTTTTGTGACATATTCTTATGTTCTATTTTTGAGCTAAAATGTGTTCTGCGGGAGCGCCTTAAATAGTTTTATAAGTTAGGCTTTTGTAATATTTCTAATTTAAGATTTTGACCTATAAATGGAATATTATCTGTTGGGCAATAAAAGCTATAAATAAATTAATTAATGAATTCACCTGGTACTGATGATGATGATGCTGCTGAGGTTCATGCGCAATGACATTCACAGGTGCATGGCTGTGCTGTGGATGATGTTGAGCTCGATGATTGGCATACAGCAACAACTGACTTCCAGTCGCAGTGCCTACTCCATGTGCAGCATGCGCATGGTTTAAGTAGACCAGCTGCACGGGAAGCTGATACGGTTGCTGGTGGTGCTGAGGTGTGGGACAGTCGCAACTGCATTCGTGGCCTTGGACTGGTAGTACCTCCAGAATTCCGATCACCTAATATGATGATTTCACTCAATTGAATTGGTAATTTCAAAAAACAGCCAAGTCACATGTTTCCAAAACGCTCTTTTACTTCCCACGCCCTCTGGAGGAGAAAGTATCGTAATCGCGAAAAATTCAGAAATTGGATATACTTTTTGAATGTTATAATAATAATAATAATAATAATAAATGGCCTTTATTTAACCTGGCGCGTTACATCAGCACAAGCTGTTTTTCAGAACCAACCAGGGCTAATAAACAAAATTCAAGTAAATGCAAATACAAAAAAAATACACAGAAGATAATAAGAAAATTGAGAGCAGACATTTTTTTTACAGAATCGTAGCCTATGCATGGTATAATGACCAAAAGAGAAACGTGCATCAACAGAGTACGTAGCAGAATCAAAAACGATGCTTAGAAGTAACTTTAAAAAAAAGATTAGGTATATGGCGGATGATATAAAAATTAAAAGTAAACAGCAACAGATTCGTAAACAAAACACCAACAAATGAAAAGTGACAAGTGAGAAAACATGCACAAATGAACAAATATAAAAATAAAATTACATAAAAATACATGCTACATGTCATCAAAGACAAAGAACCTAACTTTTCTTTCAAAGCTGGACACAGATAGAGTTTTCAAAGCTTGAGGTACTTTATTGTAAAAATCGGGCGCCACATATGAAAAGCTCTTTCTGAATTGGGTTGTTCGGTGCCGAGGCAAGTCAAGAGTATATCCTACAAAATGCAGGTTCGCTGAGTGATGATCACATCTCATGGTAAGCTTGTTCTTCAAATAAATAGGCATTTTGTTTATCAAAATACTGTGGATCAATGATAATAGATGCAGTATCCACCTTTGTCGCATAGTAAGCCATTGAATATTTTTAATATGATCAGATACCCTCTCCCGCCTTTTAATACCTAAACTGAAACTTATGCAGATGTTTTGCACTTTTTGAAGTCTATATGCCTCGCTCTGTATTAGACATGGACCATAGAAAAGGTCCCCGTATTCAAGTTTACTTAGGATAAGGGAGTCACACAACTTAACCTTAGTCTGCTTGGCCAATACATTTTTATAGCTATAAATTGACTTCAACTTAGCATAGCAACCCTGAACAGCTTTGGTGACTTGATCATGGAAGCACAGGTTCTCATCAAATGTGATGCCCAAGTTGCGAACCGATGTCTTATGGCAAAGTTCAGCACCTTCAATACACAGCTTAATTAATTCACTATTGAATTTGCTGAATTTAGATTTAATAGTTATGATAGCCGACTTTCTAGGGTTAATACATAAGCCATGTTTGTTATACCACACACATACTATTTAAATCCTCAGACAGCATCTCATTCGCTTCAGTGTACATAGCAAGGTTGTAAGATAGATAAATCTACGTATCATCGCCGTAGGTATGTAATTTGCAGTATTTAGTGACTTGTTCTAAGTCCGCTACATACAGAGAAAACAGAATAGGTCCTTTGGAGATAGTACCCTCCTGTGATACGATGTCACCAATTTTTACCTCCTGAAGCAGTTCATGAAAATAACTGCGAAACCAATTAATCGAACTATCGGAGAAGCCAAAATAATGAAATTCTGCAAAAAGTAGTTCGTGGTTGAAGTAATCAAAGGCCTTACTTAGATCTATCATGACAGCATTAGACACTTTGGAATTATCTATTGCCCTTATGAAGTCGTCACAGACATCGAGCAGAGTTGTTACGGTGCTGTGGCTTTTTCGAAACCTCGACTGCGTAGATGGAATTATCTTGAAGGTAGTGACGTGCTGCATCAATTGCTCATATACAATTTTTTCTAATACTTTTGATAACACTGGAAGGATACTAATTGGTCTATAATCATCAGGTCCTTCCGGAGCATCAATTTCAGCAAGAGGCCTAACGCATGCGGCTTTACAATTTTAGGAACTAACTCTTTTTCAAGCGTATAGTTAATTATATGAGTAATCGCCTTAGAACAGAAAGGGTCCATGCATAGTATACTAAGTGACATATAAATCCGAACACCCAGTTTAAATGGTTTTATTTTAATAAAAGTTGGTGAATGTATTTATCTTACTGTAAATAACAAGTGAAAAATTTTTCAGCCTAACCAGTTGGTCATTCCGGTTTTTATACTGCTTTTTTTTAATTCACTAACGCTCTAAAAATGAATATTTCAGCCGCAGTAGAATCAACGTTGGCGGATTTTGGTTCTTGACATCCTTTACGATCGGTTACGATGCCTAGAGTACGGAGACCTGTACGATTTCGTCAACTTAGTGAGTTTGATAGGGGCCGTATAGTGGGACTTCGGGAAGCTGGACTTTCTTTTCGGGCAATTGCAGTTAGAGTGCAAAGAAGTGTAGACACTGTGGTTAGGTGTTGTCAGGCATGGCTTCGAGAAGGCCGTACGCAAAGAGCAAGGGGCAATGGACGCCGCCGTAGAACAACAGACCGTGAAGATCGCCGCCTAAGATTATTGGCCTTAAGGGACCGTTTCCTCACTACCAGGTCCATTGCAAATGAATGGTTTGCAGAACACGGAAGACCTATTGGCATGCGAAGTGTTTACCGACGAATGAGAAGTTTTGGCTTGTTTTCATACCGGCCACACTGGGTCCTCCCTTTAACTCGAGAACACCGACGTAATCGCCTTGAGTGGTGCAGACAACGGTCACTCTGAGATCAGGAATGGAACAGTATTGTCTTTAGTGACGAGTCTCGATTTTGTTTAGGCATGCACGATGGTCGTGCCAGGGTTAGAAGGCGACGTGGTGGAAGGAGGAATCCACAGTTTTTTGTTGAAAGACATGTTCATCACACTGTTGGAGTTATGGTTTGGGGTGCTATAGCTTATGGTTCCAGGTCACCTTTAATCTCCATCAGAGGTAACATAAACGCGCAGCGTTATATCCACGAAGTTCTAGAACCCCATCTTTTACCCTATCTTGACACCCTGGCAGATCCAACTTTCCAACAAGATAATGCCCGACCACATGTTGCAAGAGTCACAATAGACTTCTTTCAACATAATGATGTCACATTGTTACCATGGCCACCAAGATCTCCCGGCTTATCCCCAATTGAGCACGTGTGGGATATGATGGGTAGGAGATTGCTCAATTTGCAACGTCCTCCTCAGACTCTAGAAGCACTTCGAGAGGAGTTGGTGGTTGCCTGGAATGAGATACCACAGGAGGACATTGACCACCTGATCAGAAGCATGCCTAGGCGCGTTGGAGAATGCGTAGCACATCAGGGTGCATTCACACATTATTAAAGGTCAAAGGACTTTAAAGCAGTGCAATCATTTTGAAATTTTTATCATTTACTTATTATGCATTTAAACTGGGTGTTCGGATTTATATGTCACTTAGCATATATGATCAGATAATGTGAAAACAGTAAATAGTGAGTCCTCCAAGCCTGTCAAATCTGTTTAATCAACATGGGAGGTTTGTACACAACACCAACAGCAAATGTTTTTTTGTTTATTTTAACCTTAACCCAAAGTTGTTCAAGGCCCTCGTGTGTTGCAAAGTTAAAATCGATACTTGGAAGCAATGCAGTCCTTTTCTCACATAGAGAGCGACTCCACTGCCTCTCCTATCTTTCCTGTCACATCTAAACAACTTAAATCTTGGAACATGGATATCGTTATCAATGATGTGTGGTTTGAACCACCTTTCGGTGAACCCGATGATATCAAAATTTTGCGATAACACATAATCTTTAACATCACAAAAACAGCTAGTAAGTGATCTAATATTTGCACATCCTATGATCAAATTATGCTCTCCGCCTTCGATGACATCAAATTCCGATAATACAGTCATTTATAAATACAGAGAAAAAAACACAAAAACAGATTAAAAAAAAGGTAAAAGGATAAAAAACGAAAAGTTTTTTAAAAAGTCTGAGATAAAGTTGAAGTTGAAATGGGATAAAATTCAAGTAAAAATCAAAACTGTGATTAGATAAAATGCACTTATCTATTCGAAGTAATTTGTTTTACACAGCATGGTTCGTATCTAGCGTTTTATCTTGTGTTACATTAACAGACAAACAGTTTATATACTAAGTGGCATATAAATCCGAACACCCAGTTTAAATGGTTTTATTTTAATAAAATTTTTTATAAGTACTTACTGAAGCATAATAAGTAAATGATAAAAATTTCATAATGATTGCACTGCTTTAAAGCCCTTTGACCTTTAATAATGTGTGGATGCACCCTGATGTGCTACGCATTCTCCAACGCGCCTAGGCATGCTTCTGATCAGGTGGTCAATGTCCTCCTGTGGTATCTCATTCCAGGCAACCACCAACTCCTCTCGAAGTGCTTCTAGAGTCTGAGGAGGACGTTGCAAATTGAGCAATCTCCTACCCATCATATCACACACGTGCTCAATTGGGGATAAGTCGGGAGATCTTGGTGGCCATGGTAACAATGTGACATCATTATGTTGAAAGAAGTCTATTGTGACTCTTGCAACATGTGGTCGGGCATTATCTTGTTGGAAAGTTGGATCTGCCAGGGTGTCAAGATAGGGTAAAAGATGGGGTTCTAGAACTTCGTGGATATAACGCTGCACGTTCATGTTACCTCTGATGAAGATTAAAGGTGACCTGGAACCATAGGCTATAGCACCCCAAACCATAACTCCAACAGTGTGATGAACATGTCTTTCAACAAAAAACTGTGGATTCCTCATTTCACCACGTCGCCTTTTACCCTGGCACGACCATCGTGCATGCCTAAACAAAATCGAGACTCGTCACTAAAGACAATACTGTTCCATTCCTGATCCCAGAGTGACCGTTGTCTGCACCACTCAAGGCGATTACGTCGGTGTTCTCGAGTTAAAGGGAGGACCCAGTGTGGCCGATATGAAAACAAGCCAAAACTTCTCATTCGTCGGTAAACACTTCGCATGCCAATAGGTCTTCCGTGTTCTGCAAACCATTCATTTGCAATGGACCTGGTAGTGGAGAAAC